ATTTTATGAAAAAAATCCATGACAACAAAAAATCGTTCACATTTCGGAGACGCCAATTGTACAAGACAAGTAAAACATTACTGCTAGCATGTCTGAGATATGTTCGGCACCCGATGAGTCACGTTCATAAATTGGTGGTTTCTACTTTAACTAGCGTCTAGAGGCACCGAATTATCTTGGCTCCCTGGCTCCTAGACATGCGCGTTTTATAGAAATGTACTCAAACTCAACAACACAACCCAACCGACCCCGCCCCATTGGGCCCCCCGCCCCATTGAGCAAAAAACCCAACTAAAATGGGCAAATTTATGTTACGATAAATATAAAACATTTTTTAATTACATAAATTTGCCCATTTTAGTTGGTTTTTTTGCTCAATGGGGCGGGAGGGCCCAATGGGGCGGGGTCGGTTGGGTTGGGTTGTGTTGTTGAGTTTGAGTACATTTCTATAAAACGCGCATGTCTAGGAGCCAGGGAGCCAAGATAATTCGGTGCCTCTAGACGCTAGTTCTACTTTATACTAAATTCGGTTGTACCAACTTAACGTTGACACCGCTGATCTAAGTTCAACAGAACTGCTGTTGAGTCGACATTGAAAAACTCATTAAATGTGAACTGATCATTAACTGATCTAAGTTTCCCTGAACCAAGGTTTAAACCCTAATTGAAAAACCGGCCCTTAGTTTTTCTCAGCTTTATTGTGTATTACGATGTTTATTTCTGGTTTTGTGATCTGCTGTTATAATAAACCAATGGATATGTTTAAGGTAGTTAGTGAGGATTATGAGGAAGTTGGCGAATTCCTAAATAATATTCAACTTCGTGTGCACAGTCCACGGGTAATATGGCAAAGACCCAATCATTTTGCAAGGTGGAATAATGATGAATTTTCTGCAAGATTTCGGTTATCCCAACCTTTTGTACGTAGGATAGTGGATTTAATTCGACCAATAGGTTAGTTATAAAAATAATTACTGAATAGGTAATAGATTTTAGTACAAATTTTCAATTACAGAAACAATGGTATTACTGCAAAAACAATGGTATTGTTAACATTAAGATTTTACGCAACAGGTTCTTTCTTGATTGTAATGGGAGATTTCGTTGGAGGGCATAACAGCACTGCTTCTAAAATTGTGGACAAGCTGAATAATATTCAGCTTCAGTGAATATACATATTACAAAGTAATGCAATAATTACATGTAATTTGTAAGGATGCCACAATCGTTAGAAGAAATTCAAAGGATACGTCAGGGATTTTTTAATATAGCCCGGTTTCGTTTGTGTATAGGAGCGATAGACTGTACTCATGTGAAAATACAAAGCCCTAGAAGAGATCAGGCTGAATTGTACAGAAATAGAAAACAACACTTTTCCATAAATGTACATACCATTTGTGGTCCTGATTTAAAAATTAATAATATTGTAGCTCGGTGGCCAGGCTCTCAACATGATTCTACAATATTTAACAACTCAAATATTAGGAGGCAATTTGAGCGAGGGGAGCCAGAAGACAATTTTTTATAAGGAGATAGTGGTTACCCGATAAGAAAATATTTGTTACCCAGATAGCACAAAGAAGTACTAAAAACGTCCTGAGTATATCTTGTATCAGACATTAGTAAGTTCCGAGTACGTCCGAATCAGGTCCTGAACCTTCCCCAGGACGTTCCAGGGACATCCGATGTTACCAAATCGTCGGTCCCCAGAACGTCCTAAGAAAGACATCCTCTGGCCATCCTGAAATGCTTTATTGGGGACTAATGGACAAGCTTTACAGAATTGAAGAGTGGTATTCCCAAAGGCCCAGACAGCAATATGACGTCTTAATTAAGACTTATTTTAAATGGATTTTATTAAAATCATTTTAATAATTTGTTCGTATTCGCTTATTTTAGGAATTGCGATTACTTCGTCTCACTTTTGTTTAAATTTAAAGCGTGCTCTTCACCAGCACCGATAGACGGCCTGTTACCCTCTTTTGGAGCTCGTCAGTATCGGGTAGCCGTTTACCTAGGTCCAAGACCGTTTGGTACATAGAAAAACCATATGGTTTGGTATGAAGCACGTTCTAAATTCTACTTCGCCCCTTCTTATATCAAACACAAGCAGTTACAGCGGTGAGAAGAAAGAATCGCATTAAAATGTCATAAATGTGACGTCTCCATGATGACGTCTTAAAAAGTTAATAATATGTACAAAAAAACTCATACAGCTATATTGTGGCTGTGTGAATAAAACTTTTCCGTCAATGTCAAGCTGACATCGAGCTTTGTCACATCCATTATGACTTTTTTAACATTTTTAACCAAACAATGCATAAGAACTCTGGCAAGCCATTGAAGCCATTTGGAACGAGATAAAGCAAGACGGCGACTTCCATGCTTTGCCGTTTGCGGGCAGTAATTGACAAGAACAGAGGGATGACGAAATATTAGTTTTTTTTTCAAACTTCAACCTAACTTTGTATTTAATTTTAGACCTTTCAAATGTGACGTATCATGTTAAAAGCCATAATTACTCCAACGAAATGATGAAAATCAGGAACACTAGATTTTTAAGCTGTATGAGTTTTTTTGTTAGCGATAGTACGTCCTTGGGACGTACCCAGTATATCCGCTATAATTTTCCCAAATAAGTAAGAGACTGGACGTACCCAAAACTTCCGATATAGGTCTAGGACGTTCGGACCTATGTGGGACCCGAAATGGACGTCCTGGGTACCTCTTGTGCTATCTGGGTAACTCCCTTGGGCAACCCTCGAACTCGCCCGGAGCAATTATTTAACGAATCATTGATTCCAACTCGCATCACAGTGGAAAAAAGCTATGGTGTTTGGAAACGCAGATTGCCAATTTTAGCTTTTGGCATTCGATAAAATATCGAAAAAGTTGAAGCCATCATTGTTGCAACTGCAGTGCTTCACAATATTGCATGTAAAATGCGTGAACGAGATCCACCAAGGGATGAAGAACTTGAAGTAGGTAGTTATTGCTGAACAAGTTTTTAATGTAGAAGTTAATAATGGCAATAGAAATATAATTTTTTTATTTTTTTTGTTTTTAACATTTATGAAATATGATTTTTGCATGCATTGCATAATTTTCTTTTGGCATCAAGTTCTACGCGTAAAATTTCCAGAATTTTAAGTGTTCCTCCTCATAACTAGCATTTTTTCTCTGGTGGTCCTCCGAAAGGATTTCTTTTTGTAAAAAGGAGTCCAAATGTCGTTGGCCTTTTGTTTAGGTGTGATCTTTTGTTTAGGTGTGGCCTTTCTTGGAGTACTTATTTCTGTTTCAAGTAATATATTTTAAGAAGTATTTTCTTTATCTTCTTCACTCATAGGTGTTAGAATCGTAGCATTAGATGAAGTTGTCCATCTTGGTACAAGGGTTGACGATTGCTTTAACATGGAGGGTTCATATGTCCTCCAATACTTTTATTAGTATTTTTTCTGATTCTTCTTCAATATATTCATCATCATAATTGATTTCATCTAAATTTCAAATTTATCAAAATAAAAAATGCAGTATGAATAAAATTTGTGAAAATCACGACATGATGTTCGTATCAATATCACGAATGTTGTTCAATTAAAAAAGATATTTATATGTTTAACAAAAAGTTCACGTTTTGTTAAATATTGGAATATCTTTTTTAATTGAACCCGGACAACATTCGTGATTTTCAAACAACGTTTTATAAATTATAACGGTGTAATGTGAATAACAAACTAGGTTTTAAATTCGCAGTTCGCAGGGCTCATACGAATGCGCAAATTTTGCAAATATCACACCGTGAGTTCTACATGATATCACTGTGATGAAGCATGTGTATGCACTCAGGATATCACGGCGTGATATCATCATGACTTCACCAGAATATCCCGATTGTTGTCCGGGAAGGTTGTTTACTAAATGGTAGCGTCCACCCAAATGGGTAGATAATAAGATTAAAAAACAAATTAAATACAAAATCTGTTTATTAAAATTATTAATATTTTTGACATTAATTATTATTTATTTGGATGTCCATTTCAAAAGACAAAAAATAATTATATTTATAATGTAACCTCACTCTGGTACTTAATATAGGAAACTGCAATTTGGAAGAATGAAAAACTAACAAGAGTCCTCAGTACGTACAAATAAGTAAACACACCTATGAAAAGAAAACTATACTATCGATTTAAATTATATTTTCCGCTACTTTTCAACGAATGTCTTTCATATACGCCAATATATTCTTCTTTGTCTCTGATATTCGCTAATAAACAAAGGTCTACCTACTGTAGCAAAAATTTGGGTTCTTGTGTTAACCCAGTTGGAAAGACAACAGTAAAAATTTGTCTGTCAACGTGTTCAAACAAAAAATCAGCCCATAAAACCTTTTTTTTTTTTGAAAAATATTTATTAAAACATGTAAAATTATAAACGAAAATTAACATCGAGTAATTGACCAACTCTTTTTTAAATGTGTGTAGCATTGCATCTTAGGCATTGCATTGCGAAATATTTTAGCTGGGATTTAGGCAATTTGTTCTTTGTTTTCTAACGTCTGTGGGCGATTAATATAGACTTTACTTTTAGGTAACCCTACAAGAATACTTAAATACGTTTAATTTTTTTGGAATCGAAAAAAAATCGATTGATTAAAAAAATAAATCATTTACGGGGGGACCCAACAAAATATTAAGTAATAATGCGACATGGCCAAATTTCTTTATATTTATTTGCGATGCTGTTAGATTTTGTAAAACTTACCTGAAATAGTAAAAGTGCGAGTGAGTTTAAATTATGGAAGAAAAATTTTGGAAATTTAAATTAACAATTTCTGCGCGTTCTTGAGGCGAATAACGCTCCATAACAAAATTCTGTATCTTTCTACTATTCTAAAAAATTAAAAACATTTGCCTCCTTTAAAAGTTTTAGTATGTACTTCAAAGTTGACATGGTAAAAGGAAAGAATGTGGTAAAGGTTTGAATAAAAGTCATGTTATATGAGATCTGGCAACATTATTGTATTTAGATGTGATGCTTTTGTACAGCTTAGTTACATAGTAACAACTGTATAGTATAGTATTTTCTACACAACACTTAAAACTAATAATACTACCGCTAAATTCAGTGTGCTTGTGAAAATGATATATAATAATTAATTTATTAATTAATTAATATAGAATCAGAATTTTTTTTATTCGGTCTTCGATTTTAGAAAAGATTTACTTATTTTTACTGTGCCTAACATGCAAAAATTGTAGTAAAAATGTGAATCCGTTGTTTTTTTAATAATTTATTATTCTCATATTATTATTAAATAAATAAAGGCAAGATGTTTATTTGGTTTAAATATGTAAGTTTGTATAATATGGTTAGAATTTTGTGTAATTATAATTTTTACAATATTAACAGACGCGCGTTTTCATTCATACAAAAATAAAAATATATAAATATAATTGTTGTACTTAATCAGACAATAAGAAACTAATATCACTATGTGATAAGCTTTACTTATGATAACACTAAGCCACACATTTTTGTGCACCCAGTATTATATCAAACATTGCACTATCAAAAGAATTACTATCATAAGTAAAACTTATCCTTAAAAATAAATATATAACAAAGATTACTATAATACCAATGAAAATAAATCTACCCAGCAAATTTACCATATATTATCCTATAGATATAAAAAACCTTTTTCCTTTAAAATCACAACAAAGTCCCCCTTAGTAAGGACTTTTATCACAATAATTTTAAAATTATAAATTCACTATCAGCTATAAAAACTTACAAAATACGAAAAATAATCGTGTTACGTCAATAAAAGACGAACTTTTTTTACTTAAGAGTGAAACTAGTTTAGAATATTTTTATTGCACGTTATGACCTACATATATTTAACTACACACAGGGGGCTCAAATTAATATGTCATTTTTAGCCTAAAATGCTTGCATGCTTGAACCCCTGTAACTTTTAGGGGTAGTTTTAAGATTTTTTTTGCATTTAATACAGTCATTTTAATGTGATATATTATTATTTTAAATAAATATTTAACATACAAAAAATATGTAAAATGTTTAAAAAATGTTTTATAAATAATTTTTTCTTGGTGTGTTAAATTATACAAAAATAAATGCTTTTTGAAATAAATCATACTGTTTAAAAAATATAGGACTTCAATGTTAACAAAAGATTTTTTGACGTAACTAACAAAGCAAATTTGACCAAAAAATATGCGTTGGGTACTTAAAATCAGTGTAACTTAAAAACAAAATAATATGTGTACAATCTTTTTTTAATTTTAAAGAAAAACTATGTATTTTCAAATAATTTAACATATAAATTATATAATATACCTAATAGTTATATGAATTATTCATATTAAAAAAGATATATGTAGCTGTCAAAAAATTTAAAAAAATAAATATGAAATCTTTTGGGCTAAAATTGGTCTTACAAATTTAATCCCTGTAAAACGTCACAAATACTTTGCAACGCCCTAAAAAATCTCGTAAATTTGCCGAATAGACTCAAATAAAAAAACGATAAATATAAAGATAGATTTTAAACATAATTTATATTATATCGAGCACTATATAAAAAAGTGTAAAAGTGTTATATCAGCAAAGCATTATGCATATAAAGTGTCCTATATCATCATCATCAATAAAAAAACTAAAAGTATGGTCACAGTGCTCGATAAATATAAATTTTTAAATTTTACAAAGGGCCCTTTGTGTAGGGCAAAGGTACTTTTTCAAAAAGTTATACACTTTAATTTCTAAAACACCTAGTATTACATTTTTGCAAACAGCCTCTCAGTAGAATTTCCTTTTTCACGCGGCCAAAAGGGCCACCGCGACCCCAAAAGGGTCACGCTAAAGCGTTAGATTTATTATAATGCGGGCCTGGTCACAACTAAAAGTTGGGCGCCTTTGTCAACTTTGAAGTGCTGTAACTTCTTGATGGGGCAATTTGTTTTAAATTATCATTTATAAATTCGTGAAGCGTTCTTTAATTTAATTTTGACATATTCATTTTATTTTTACCACAAAAAAATTATAATTTAAAAAGTTGCAAAAATATCAAACTTTTACAAATTTTTTTCTAGAGCTTAAAAAATCTAAAAATATTGTCAATATACTAAATTAATAAAAAATAAGAGCTTTTCAAAACAAAATTATTCAAAAATTAATATCGTTCAAAAGTTATAGGACTCTTAAGTTGACTATAGATTTTTGGACGCCACTATAAAAAAGAACGTAAACCAAAACAAATTGTGTCACTTTGAAGCACTGTAACTTTAAAATGGATTAATATATATTTTTTAAAGAATTACTTTTGAGTAATTTGACATTTTGTTTAAATATTAAAGAATAATTGCTTTGCAATATCTATATAAAAAAATAAAAATGTTGTCCCCTTCAAAAGTTAGAGTACTTTAAAGATGACGCTTATAAACTTAATGCCTTTTTACCGCGATAGCCGAGCGGCCTTATGGCATTAAATTAACTAATATAATCAGTCAAAACATAAAAATTCTAGAATAAACTACAATAAATACGTCAGTCTGTTAAAACACAAACTTCTTCTATTCGTTTTTAATTTATAAAAACCAATAAAATACGTGAAGAGGCCCTGGGACAAAATTTTACGCGTTTTGACCTTTTTAAACTTAATTTAATTACACAACGTTTTTTACGTTTGTGGTAGGTGTAATTAATTGGTGGACAAATATGTGGGGGTGTTTTTTTATTTTTAATAATCTATAGCTAAATTATTTAGAATTTTTCGTAAATTTACAAAGTCTACAATACATTAAAATTTGTAGTAAATAAATCTTATTGTGTATTGTGATTACATTTTTTTAGCCGGCTATTGCTTTTGTGTGGTGGGTACAAATTTTAACTTTTTGTAGACGCTTACGTACAAAATGTACAAATATTATATAAGGTAAAAAATTGAACTCGAAATCTTACAACTAAGTGAAAATTAATGCTATTTATATTATTTACATTCCTCTATAGGTAGTGCAAAACGCCCCCTCCATATTCACCCCCACTATTAAATTGAGCTTTATAACTTATTTTCCATAATAATAGAAATACGATGTAACTGTTTTTTTATATAATATAGTGAATGCTAAATTAATTAATAGTTCTTTTATTGGAGTTTTTGGTTCTGTGTGGTTTAATTTTTTTAGAACATTTTTCGTTAATTTAGTTTGACGATATCACACGTACGTAAAAGTTATTGTTTTTTGGGGGGAATCGCACTTATGCCACTTTGTCACGCCGATGTTTCTTTAAAAGAATCCTGATACAAAACAGCCAGCTAATATTTTAAAAATTTTAAGATTCTATGTTTTAGAGTTTTCTTTAAGGAATATTTTGATAAATTATTTTTTATGCTAAAAATACTAAATCAATCCAAAATAATACAAACATTACTTAAATATATTATACCGTTCAAAAGTTATAAGGGTCTAAACTGCCCTACTATGGAGAAAGGCAGTAACTGCAAAAAAATGCAAAATGCGTTTTCTTGTGCTATGGTAAAGCTACGGACATTTTGTTACCGAATTCAACACAGAAATGCAGTCAAATATCTCATAAGTAAAAAAAAACAATTAAACACCTAGTAGGTGTCACCTACGGCTTTTTATAAAAATGTAGTTTATCTACTCCTACATTGACAAGCTGTCACTTTATGGCGTTTTATTGACGGTCTGAAGTTAACAACAGTGGCTTTTCGACATTTTACGTCACGGGCTGAAGTTAGCTTTATTATAAATTGGGAAAAAGTGAGGTTAAATTCGGGTGACAGTTGACAGATGTCAAAATTTTAACATAAACATAAAATTGGATTTAAATTCTGTTTATAGATAAAGTATAGTATGCAACTCGTTTATAAACTTCTCTAGACACTCGTTTTTATTAAACACTCGCTCGCAAGCTTTGCTCGTGCTTAATTAAACTCGTAACTAAAATGGCGTTTATAAAACTTGATACATAATATACTATTATGCTAATTTTCCACAAATTTCTTGTTTAGCAGTTACTGCCTTTCTCCATAGTAGGGCAACTTTAAAAGTTAAACAATGATTTTTTTAAGTCTCTATATAACCATAAAAATATGTAACACAACGTGTTCTCGATTGTGCTCGGAAAATGTTTCCCAAGCTTCAAATGAATTTGTACGCAATTTCCCAACCAAGCATTTTGACGCACAATCGAGAACTTTCCCTTGAATATGCACGAAAGTTTTTGGCAAAATACTCGATCGCTAAAACCAAATTTAAAATTAATTTCTCAAAAACCGTGTGTAAAATAATCTTAAAATTTTGGCAGTGAGTATTTTTGTATCCATCTTATCTAAATTATGGTATTATTTAAGAAGACTAACACTTTTTATAACATATAACTTTTCATTATTTTTGGAATTATTATGTTTATTATTGATTCGATTAAACCGCATAACATAACACCTGTAAAAACAATACAATAAACAAGAAAAATAAAAAACATTGAAAAAAAACGTTCAATGGCCTAATTCTACTATGCTGTTAATAAATTCTCGGAAATTTTTTGTGTTATTTGTGGTTAATTTGCGTTCTCAAAAAAAATGTTTGAGCATTTTCCATCTCTAGCCCTATAATTTTTTAACGGAATACCAATTTTTATATAATAAATATTAAAAAAAAATAACACTGTCAAAAACTGTCAAAATGTAAAACAACACAGAAAAAGCAAGGTTTTACGATTTTTTTTTCATGGGGTAAAACAATTGTAAAAAAATAAAGATTTTAGTTGCTCTATAATATAAAAAAAATGAAATTTAAAAAATATTAGTTTAAACTAGCATTGCTTATATTAGTTTAAAGTTAACGTTTTGGTATCAGGATTTCTTAACAAGCACTCTCTAGTTCCTGCATTCTTTTTCTGCTGGCCTGCCGCTTTCTAAACTCATTGAACTCCTCTTTCATAGCCTGTACCCGCGCGTCTATATTATCATACCTACTCCTTAAAGTGTAAGTTTTCCGTCCAACCGAAGAATCGACCATGTCCAAATCTCTGGACCCCAGTGGCGTAGAAGGAGTGGGGGTTGGCGTGGAGGGATCAAACTCGTAGTGCCCATCGACACTCCCAACATCCACTGATTTATGGAGGTGATCTGAAGCTGAAGGGGAGCTTGAAGCTAACTCCAACCAGTGACCGACGATGGGGGGTGGTGGTGGTAGTATTGGTGGGGGTGGAGGAGCTCTGTACGGGGGTAATCTCCACTCGTTAAACATTGAGCCGCTGTGTGAGCTTTGGTTTTGCTGGGAGGTGTTTTTGCTGCCGAAACCTGATGATGATGAACGGCTTTCTGGTGATCTGTCTAGGTGGTCTAATTCTGGAGCGCTTCTAGCTAAACGCGCATGTCTGGGAGGGAGTAGTCTGCTGGAGCGTAGACGAGTTTGTGGTGCTACCCTTGGGGAGTCTCTGATGGGGTGTACGGGGATGAAACCTTGATGTTCTTCATGGATTGCTCTTAGAGGTGGTAACTCCTGTGAGTATCTTTCATGAACTGATTTAAGTTGTATAAAACCTGGAGGTGTTGGGTAAGACCTCTCACCAGAACTAGGATACCTCACAGACGACAAATCACTAAAATACATTGGAGTCCATGGCGTCAAAAGCAAACCAGATGATGTTGCAGGAGAACTACTCTGAAAATTTGGCGTCATTGGACTATAAATCGTCGGTATAGGTTTCAATGTAGGCTGATGATAGAACTTCTGACCACCAAAGAAGAAATTAGCCAACCCTCTAGCACTTTGCCCTGATGCATCCGATCGCAAACTTAACTGGCTTGGATACCCCACCAAAGGCTTCCTCCAAGAAGCCCTATTCCTCGACCTCCGCGGCAAAAAACCCCCGTCATCACTGGAACTAGCGTTTGAAGGACTATCAGGTCTCAGGCTTAAGACTGAGTCCACCAGTACGAATCTGCCGTCGGCAGCGCGCGATATTCTTGCTAGAGATTTTGTTGAGCCGGAGTGAAGATAATCCGGGTGCCAGGTGAGGCTGGATAGGCTGCCCGATCGGCAGCGATCGCGGGGCCACACCCAATTGGCGATAAAGGTAAATATTCTTAGACCTGGTACTCGGCTTTTTCTAAATCTAAAGGGAGAGATTTAGGTTTAGTTTTTTATAGTTAAAAGGGTCCTTGTTATTTTTTTGCATAGAAAAAAGAAACATTTATTGTTTAAAAAGATAACACCATGCAGATAGAGATTAGGTTATACAAGCTATCATGCATTACAATACAATAACATTATATATCTAAAATTACAAATATGGCGGCCCAAAGGGTAAAGGTAAATTCCTCTTGAAATTTATTTATCATTTTTTCAAATTCGCAAAATTTGCAGAAAATATTTAACTTTTAAAGCTGTCAATAAAAGTATTATCGATTTGTAACCAGGTTTCCTACTCACATTAGAAACGTCCGATAGAGCAGAAATACTGCGAAGAAATGGTTAAGGAAAATTTGAAATTCACATTGAATTTCAAGAGGAATTTACTCTACTCTACCGTTTGGGCCGTCAATTTTAGGACACCCTGTATATGGAACGATGCGATTCTTAGACAAAAGAAAAGTAATCAAAATATAATCTAATGTTATTTCTATAAAGATATTGCAATTTTATTAAAAAATTTACGGAAATACTAATGCAAAAAAATTATTGTTAAAATAATAAAATACTAAAAAATAATGTTTTTGAAAATATAAAGCATTTTATTTCCATGTTGCTAATATTTATATAAAAATCTGACTTTTTGTAGAAGTGTAGGTATTAAAACATATTTGTTGCACTTTTTTTAAATTTCTTCATAAAAATTTTGACATTTTTGCGCCCACCGTGACACATATTTTAAAGGTTTGTAATTAGTCAGATTTAACTAAATTTTTTTAGGTCATACAAACAAAAACACTAATTTTAATACGATCAACGAAAAAGTCGTATTTTTGTTGACATACCCAAAAAATTTCTTTAAAATCGGCTTCAAAATTTTTTTATTCGACTTCGACCAGCATATGCAGATTTGAATTGAAAATGCTTATGTTTTTGTTTGTATGACCTGAAAATTTTAGTTAAATCCGACTAATTTTGTAGATGTTACCTTTAAAAAAATGTTATACAGTGAAAAATGTAAAAATGGAACCAAATTTAATATGTACCTATCAATACCTGTAACTTCTACAAAAACATTTAGATTTTAAGGGTATACCCCAAAGATAATAGTATTATCTTTGGTATACCCTTCATAAAAATCGCTTTAAAATTTTGACGTTATGACGCATTTTTTTAAAAGGTTTGTAACTTCTACAAAATTAGTTGAGTTTTATTAAAATTTCCAAGTTATATTAACAAAAAAGTTGTATTTTTCTTGGTACGAGTATACCCCTAAAATTCGCAATAAATAAGAAATTATGGCTCCAGCATGTCCTAATTTGAATTCTTGTAACTTCTACAAAACCGGTCCGAATTTAAAGAAAATGTAAGGGTATATTAACAAAACTACGTTCTTTTTAAAAGTGCCATCGAAAAATACGTATTTTTGTCTGTACTCTACTTTCTTCATCCAAAAATAACCAAAATATTTCTACAAAAAAACGCTATAAACACACGGTGCTTTTAAAAGTGCACAAACTCATCAAGAATCATCAACAAAATTAAAAAATTATCATAATTTTATACATGTGTGAGTGCGAGCTGTCGAAGCGGTCGAATTAACGTCATCGTCAATTGGCTGATCCTTCACCTTTTTCCCTCCTGAATTGTTGTTGAAGTTGTGTTGTCCGGGGTGCGGCGGTGGCGGGCAAATTACATGATTGGGATCAGAAACTAATTTTCGGATACGCGAGCAAGAAAAATCAAAACATATCTTGCTTAGTTATACACAAATATTAAGAGACAAACATACTCATAACATTAATAGTTGGGGTGTTTGTTAAACTACTAAAAGGAAATACTAGAAGGGTCTTATAAGAATTTTGATATATATCAACATATGTTAACGGATTCCAAAGTTAAAAGGATTTAAAGATGGCGTACTAAAATATTACTAACCAAATGTTTAAAGCTACGTAGCTTTTTACGGGATGGAATTTAAATTTAATTCTTTTTTATTGATAAAGGGGGGTATTTTAGAAATAATTTGATATATTTTTTATTTTTATGCAAATTGCAACCCATCAAAAATGCCAATTTTATAAAACATTTACGCAAGTACAGAGACAAACTGGCAAGTATTTGTTTTCCTACTTTTCAATACTTAAAAATCAACTTACATAAAAGGGAAGTAACATTTTGAATAATACAGGTTCAAATATATTGTAATTGCAACAATAATTAATATACATCAATATGAAATATTTTTTTTACTGTAAATGAAGATAAACTTAATATTAAAATTACAATACTTGTTGTCCTTTAAAGGATTATTATTAAAAAAGTTACTTAACCCCTTCATCCACATGCCCCTTCAATTATACATCAAATTATTCCCAAAACAAGACTTTACACATGTAAAAAGATAAATTTAAAAATATTTACTAACTCAAAAGATGGGAATTGTTTTTCCGTCCCTTTAGTATGGTTTAACAAATCCAAGTGGTATTAAAAATAATCTATAGAGCTAGATGCACCTATACAGAAAATTCCAGCTCTAAGGCTGTTCTACATTCCAGGAACAAATGAAGCACACTTAAGTTATAGTATACTGTATCTAATTTTTTATCTAGGTTCTTTCTTAATTTTTTTGGAAAAAATCCAGAAATACACGTGTTTAAGTATTTTTTTAATATAAAAGGTGGGGCTTAAAACAGCGTATTATCATTGGTGTACCCTGAAAATTTTATTTGAATCGCTCTAAAATTGAAATAGTTGCAATTTTGATATTTTGGCGCCCATCCTGTCAATTTTTTTAATCTTTGATTTTAACAAAATTTGTAAGGTATACCAATAAAAATGCAATCCAGAAAATACTAAATGTGTTAAAATCGCGTTGAGAATAAGAATTTGACCATAATGACTTTTTAAATGCCTTTAAGTTATACATTTTTTTTTAGAATTTCAGGATTTTTTCATTGTTTCAAAACTTTTATTTTTAGTTTCTTTGACACAATATACATTAACTCTACAGGTATCTATTAAATAAACTCGCTACTTAATGCGATAACTTGATCCCAAAACTCAAAAAAGCCAAAAAACAAAAGAATTAACTTTATATTAACGCCAAAATGAACGATTCTCTAAAAATACATGATTTTTTCAAACAACTCAAAAATTACTTCGAAAAAAATCTTTAATTTATTTTTTATTGTGATCGCATAACGTAGCAAGTATCAAATGCCTGGCGCTTACGGTTTGTGTCAACGCTTGTCCCGGGAATTATAAAAACGCTTTCGTAATCTCTGTAGGACTCTGACTCAACTGTCCTATAACCAAAATAAATCTAACAGCTTTTCTCAACTTTAATTATTAATAGGTATAGGTATAGGTTAAGTTTTAAACTAATCAACGTTTTATCTTTTTGGAGTCTAGTATACGCTAAAGAAGCATACAATATTTATAGAAAACGTTTATTTTAAAGATAAGCCCAATTAAGTTTTTATTTTAGAACTATTTTTTTTTTAATTTTGTTGAATGCTATTTTTTGTGCCATGTCATTTATTGGTTAGTTTAGCTACTTATTTTACACAAGAACAGGACGCAAGAACAATTTCAACGTTAGTGTGTGTATTGTATCTAAGTAATCATTGTAAATTATTGTGTTTTTAATTGTACCTAAATAAAGTTCAAGACTAAATCGTTGCATTTTCATGTTATTTCTTGTTGACATTCTTTATCAACGCTATTAATAATGCTAAATGCTGTTTGAATTTAGACGACTTATTTGTTTTATGATTTTTACTGAATTAAAATTTTTACAATTTTTACGAAAATAACTACTAAAATGAGTATTTATTGTATCTAATAGGTACAATTTATATATAAAAAATCGAAAAATCGTTGCTAAGTAATATTTTAACAAGAAGCATGAGTGCTGGTGGCAACAAAAATCCGAGTCGAAGACGAGGATTTTTGCACCTGCACGAATGCATTTTGTTAAAAAATATTACTTAGCATTGTGATTTTTCGTTTTTTTCACAGGAAAAATTAGATGCCCGAATGGTATTTGACAAGACTATTTCATGAGTAACAGTTAAATTGCAATTTTTGGTGACAGCAGCTGTAAACTTTTGCCGCGGGTAAACTCGAAAAAACTGCTGACAGGTGCTGTCATACAGTTTTTCCACCTAGAAACCATTTGTAATTCAAAATTGCGCGTTTGTGATTGGTGGAAATTAAGACGAGGAAAATAGTCTCCGATATTTTTAACATTTTCCGACTTTATTCTCAAAAACACTCGTTTGTAACGTACGCGTTTGACAGCTGCTTATTAAAAGCTGAATTCTATAACGGCCACGTGGTGGCGCTACTAACGATGCTTCTTTAGCGTATATTTTAATGTAAAATGTTATTCCCCAGTGTTTTGACACATTTTGAAAAAAAGTTAATGAAATTGAACAACAATTAGCATAAAAAATCAAGATTAAATGCTTTCTTATTAAGTGTCACCCTTGAACAACATTGTAATCTTCTATAACTCTGGATCTAGTTAACCTATAATTGTAAAATTTTGTGTTTAATAGATTTTGTTTTTCTTAGATATCTGTCAAAATGTTTGTTGTTGACTGTACCTTAAAACTCAGCTCAAAAACTCAAAAAACGTGTTGACCAATGTTATCATTTTTTTATTGACAAGACCAAAATTTTAACAATCTATTTATTACGTGATCTCCCAGACAAATACCAATACATTTACCCTTAACCACTATTTTAAATCAACAATATGTTAGTCTAAATTATTAGTGAAAAAAAATTAAATTTAGACACTAAAACATGAGGAAAACTTACTTTTTCAAAGGCACTTGGCTATCGGCGGCATTTCCCCCATTTCGAGAATCGGTTATTCTACAAGCTACCATATTATACGCTAAAAAACAAAAAGTTTTAGTATTTTGGCCAGCTACATCGCCAGATTATAATGAAATTTGTAAGGTTTGAGGATGAACTTTTTAATGGTAGCAACTAGAATGTCAGTATACCATTAAAATCAATAAGTACTAAAAACTTACCTTTTTCTTGTTTTCTTCGTTTTCGCTTATTGCAAATTTTGACGGCACAGACGCTCAAAATGATGGCGACTATGAAGAACAAAATTCCGCCGACAACGCCGGCGGTGATAGCTTTGTGTTTGACGCGCGCTGGCACCGCAAATTTCACTTCTTCGCTGGATTCGTAGCTCTTGGTCGAATAGGCCAGTATGCGGAAGTAGTAGGTGCGACCTCCGACCAGGTTTTTAACTGAACATTTCAAAATATGTCATTAATTGTTATTCCTTAAAGTATTGGCTATATTTTGAAAAACAATTGCTCAAAATCCTTCAAAAATTAACCAACAAAAGTTGTAACTCTTGAAAAACCTTGTAACCTCTAGATCTGATTTTCCTAAAAATCTTAATTTTGTTGTGGCGTTAACCATATATAAACTTTATGACATTTTAAAATTTCATTTTAATAGTGTTTGTTTTTTCCGAGATATCTTTCAAAATGTTTGTTATCGACACTAAGCAATTATGAACAACGACGAAGAGCTATTCTGCCCTACTATGGAGAAAGGCAGTAACTGCAAAAAAATGCAAAATGCGTTTTATTGTGCTATGGCAAAGCTATGGACATTTTGTAACCAAATTCAACACAGAAATGCAGTCAAATAACTCATAAGTAAAAAAAATCAATTAAATACCTATAGGTATACTGCTTTTTATAAAAATGTAGTTTATGCTAATTTTTCATAAATTTCTTGTTTAGCAGTTACTGCCTTTCTCCATAGTAGGGCAGTATTATTGTTTTGGCTATAATTTAAAACAAAGTTTTAAAAAATCGCCCAGGAACTAAGTAAAATCCAGATAGTTTAAATTAGGTCTAGTTTTAGACAAAGTTTTAACTCCAATTTATTTTGTTTGCCTTGTAACTTCGTAACCACTCAACCTCTTTTTTAATTGATTGATTATATACAAACATACAACAATTTTATAAGAATACAAATTCAAGTCGGTAGCTTTTGTTTTTTTCCGAGTTATCTGTCAAAACATATCTTTACCTAGATAATGGGTGTCTTCGGGTCGTATTTGAGCTTTGTTCAATGTTTTCCAAGGACCGTCAGTCCTATACTTGATCACATAGTGTTGAATGAGGTTCGCCCTTTCCGTGGGTGGCATCCAGGTTATCAAAAAACCGTTGCTTATCTCAGTTACCGTGAGGTTTCGGGGCAGGCCAGGTTTTGGACCTAAGATATAATAAAGTTAGGTTTAAATTTGGGGGGGGGAGTTGGTAGGTGTGCAACCAATTGTACCTTTTGGTTTTAATACTGGCGGTAAAAAGGAACTGCCTGAGGAGTCGGTTGGTAAAATAATATTACTGTAATCTAATATGTCTGAAATCAAAAATAAAAAAACATGCAAACTAAAATACATAAGGACATGCATGATTGTTACTCTGGATTAAGTTAACATAGAAATGTCAAATTTGGTGTGGGGTTAACTATATATAACCTCTATAACATTCTAAAATTATAACTTTTGTTTCTTTCTAAGATATCTGTCAAAATGTTTGTTGTCAAGTATGTTTAATTTTTTTGGAAATATTTAAATGGAATTGGATTTATTATTGTTCAAACTATACTAGCAAAGTTAAGTCTAGCTTAAGTTACGTTTTTACACCAACCATTTTTCATTGGTTTGTACTCCGTAACCACTTAACCTATATACTTCAAATTAGGATTTAATATGGACCTATAATAGTTATTTATGTCATTAGGTTAAGAAGTAAGGCTTTTTGTGCTAAGCTCAAAGTTTGAAGGCCGACGCGTAGCGGAGGCCTACAATTGAGCGAAGCACAAAAAGACACTTCTTGGCCGAATGGCATACAACATTTTATCTTCAAAGCACTTTATATAGGTCAATTTAATTCAACATGAAAGTGGCATAACCTCACTTTTTTTAATCTCATTTATTTATTAGCTAAAGATTACATTAAATGTACAATAATTATTATTCCTTTTAGAAGCAGTAATAGTTTGCAATACCTAGCTACATGATTTAAGTAGAAATGGATTTTTGTAAGAAAATGGTTTACTTACCCTCTTGCTATTACATTGAATTCAATTAATTGTTTAATAAATAGGTACCTAATAGGTATCTAATTTCAATTTGTTTGCATTTTTATTAAAAAATAGGTAGTTTGGAATGTTTACGCTGTGTTTAACATTTAATTTTACTGAAAACTTAAAGCAAATTAAAATTTAAAGATAATTTAAATCGTAGAAAAAGAAAACACAACTGTGAAACGTCAAATTGCAATGTCCTAACCTCACTTTTTATTTTATTATTCATATTTAATTTTACAATAATTTAATGAAAAATATTAAACATTATAATGTTATAACAGTAAAACAAACAAATTAGTGCTTATTATAAATAAATTAAACCAGTTTAGTACGTTAATTTCTTAGAAAAGGATTAATTTGTCAAAACAATACCCCTAGCGAGAAAAAATCGAACTAATTACTTGCCTCATAAAAATTTTTATCGGCCTAGGCCATAACAAGGTATTTCTTTATCGAATGTTGACAACAATAAAGTTTAAATTATAGACCGCGTGGAGATAAAAATATATTCAATATTTTTAACATTATAAAACTATAAGTGGATATCATTTGTTTTTCTAGAGAAAACTTGATACTGCTGATTTCCCACATAATATAAAATGGAGATGATGCCATATTTTGTGTTTCCTTGTGTAATAAAATCTATATAATGGTTTTGTATGTGTATTTCTTTAAACTACATGCACCATTTTAAACCATGACCTATTAAATAATAAAATAAAATCGATTCCATAAACACGCAAATATATTTATAGATTTACCTACAATATAAGTTTTAATTCCAAAAAATAAAATGCATGCTCATAAAAACATGCCTAGTTTTTCTGATATCCTTACCGGAGTTACTCTGATCGGTATTATGAAAGGGCGTGGGCGTAACTTGGACTTTATGTGGCAAACCCACGTCTTTGATAGGCATTGAAAAAATTTCTTAATTAATATCACCACATAATATTCTGTATCTTAAACATCATCTCTACTCACCCAACGTACGAACAGTTATGATTTTGCTCATCAGTCCGTCGCCCAGCGCGTTTTTCCCTATAACCTGAAACTCGTACGTGGTACCCGGCGCCAGCCTGTTGATGGTGACTTGCGTGCTTCCCGACGGCGTTACCGGGATGGTGCTCCACTCCGAAACACCGGCTTCACGGTACCACAAAGTGTAATCTTGCTTGTAGTCTGGACCGCCAGAATAACCTGGTAACCAGCTCAGGGTCACCGAGAACTCCGCCGCGGTACCAGTGAGGTTATAAGGGGCATGCGGTTGGGTACCTGAAATGTTATATTTTAGCTACTTATTCAAGAATAAAGGCTTTAGTGTTAGGTTTACTGCAAATGAAAATATATTGGCCCTAATAAGTTTTCGCAGCTAATGTGTCCGAATACTTTGTTGCTCTTATACTTGGTGGATGTTTTTACCTTCATAGTTATTGAATATTTTGTGATGCATAGGAATCTGGTATAGGTAATTCAATACCTCTCTGAAGTATTCACAGTCAAAGTTGATGTATGTTCTGATTCCTACACCTAAGTCAACGTTCAAATCTAGTGCTGATGAATATTATTAATTCTATCTTACGTGAACGTTTTAACCGCATAGTCTTTGAATATTTTGTGATGAATGGAAGAATTCGATACAGGAAATTCAAGGTGCTGAATACTTCTTAACGGGTCCAGTTTTTCAATTACCCTAAAGTATTTGCAGTCAAAGTTGGTGTAGGTATGTTCTGATTTCTACACTTGAGTCAAGCATATAAATCTAGTGCTGATAAATGTTATTCATTCTGTCTTATGTGGAGGTATTTTGGTTTTGTAAAAATGAATGCTCTATAATTGAATCAAGTATTCAAATTCTAGGATTAAGAGGAAGAAAACGTTTCAAGATGGAGAGTAATTAATAGAGAGTATAATAATTTTGTTGAAAATAAATTAATAATCGTAATGTGATCACAAGAAATGCAATAACCAGTAAAAAAATAGGTGTGATAATATATTTACTTTGTATTTTACAAAAAATAATAACAATTTGTACAGATATTTTTTCGAACTCTTGTAATACATTGCTGCCGCGTTGCCTATATAATTGGCAGCAATTACCTATAATTATTATTTATTGTAATAAATTGTTGTCAGTCAATTCCAACTGCATAGAAAAACCATGTCCAACTGTAGTTGAGAAATATCAAATTTAATGAGGGGTTAACTATATATGTAACCTCTATGCCATTCTAAAATAACAATTTGATAGCTTTTGGAGATATCTCTCAAAATTTTTGTTGTTTACTGTATTTGATTTTGAATCTTGACAAGGATTTTAGCCTAAGTTACCAGCTTTATTATGATTTTTTTAGGATTTTGTAAAACAAAATGATTTTATATAGTTTTATCAACAATTTAAAGCAAAGTTTATAAAAATCGCATGTAAACTAAGCCATATTTTGATACTTAAAATCAAGTCTAGCTTATGACAAAGTTTTTACTCTTAGTTATCTTCTTGGGCTTGTAACTCCTTAACCTTTTAACTTGGAGGCTTCAAATTTGTAATATTTATAAACATAAATTTTTTTTATGACATACTAAAATTATAAGTCGATTGCGTTTATTTTACTGTATATTTACCTTCTACAACTAGCTGAGTGGCCGTGACGATGGTTGCAACTTCATTTGAAGCTACGCACTGATAAAACCCAAAATCAGATCGCCTGAGACTTTCTATGGTGATGTTGCCTCCGATTATTTTGACTCTATTTTTTGGTAGGGGTGATCCTAAAGTAATATTTTGGTAAAATATAGTGTAAAATGTTTTTTGTATATGTACCATCTCGGCGTTGCCATTCAACTTTGGGTTTTTGAGTTCCTTCAGCTTCAAGCGCTTCACAATGCATTTCAACTGTTTCTCCCACTTTTCTTTGGTACATTGCTTCGGGTTCTATGGTGAATACTGGAGGTTTACGTACGAGAACCTTAAAATTATTCACATATTATTTGTATTTGTTTTTTTTTGTTTGGTTCTTACCTCCATTTGTCCAGAGCTTCCCTGGGTTCCTTGGGCATTGTAAGGGGTGCAAGTGTACCTTCCTTGGTGGTTTTCATTGACCCTGGTGAAAAGTAGGGAACCATTGTTCATTATAACAATATCCTAAAATGTAGTTTGATAAAGAACATGTTTTAACATATTTATTGAGGGGTCCTACCTTAGTTTGATACGGTTCCAGCAATCTCTTATCTTTGGTCCAAGTTACATATTGTAGGGGAGGGTTAGCTTTAATATAACACTGTACAACCCCTGCCAAACGAAAGGGTAGATACTGTATTGTAGGGGTAAAAGTAACCTTTGCTGGATCTACAAGCAAAAACAGAATTCGCAAGAATCTCAATTGGTTATAAAAACTTACATTCCACATTTAAATACGCTGAAGCTGACTGTGGTTCTCCTATACCATTGCTAACTTCACACATATATTGCCCTGAATCGTCTGAACTAACAGGGTTTATAACCAAAGACCCATCCCTTCGTATGGTGACCCTAGTTTCCAAACTTGAAACATCTTTAACAGGAGCTCCCTCTCTATACCATCTTACTGTGACGTTTCCAGGTTGAGCCTTAGCCTCACAGTTAAATTGCACCTTTTCTCCCTCCAATTTGGTTTGATTCGTTGGAGGAACCATAATTACAGCTCCTCCAGCTATAATAACTCTCGCGGTGTGCGAAATCTGCCCCTCGCCGTTCCTCGCGATACAAGTATAATCCCCAATATCCTCATGACGTATGTTGCTGATCCTTAACTCAGTCCCATCGTTAAAAATACCTATAGGGGGCACGAAAAAGCACACTACAACGATTGGGTAGTGGGGGCGGTTCAAAGAAGAGAAGAGAGGGGGTAGATCTATCGGGAGTGCAGCTATATAACTGCTAACCGTCATATGTGGTTAGATTGGGGATATCATGTCTTCTATATGTTTTGAGAGCGTATGAGATCTTTTTGGGTTGATTTAAACATCGAAAAATGGGTTTTATAGCATTTTGAGACGAAAAGTGTGACACAAGGTTATCTTTTGGGACCCTTATTGTTTAAAGTAAAAAATACTGACAATGCTTGTAAACAGTTTTGAATGTAACTTTTTTTAGAATAATTTTATTTAAATGTATGTAAACTGTAATTTATTGTCGTATTTTTGTCTTTATACACTAAAAAAATACATCAAACCCCGACAAAGTTTATAAAAGTTTGACACGTTAGGCACCAAAATACTAATATCGTCGGTCAACTTTAAAAATTCTACAAAAATATCGCGATTTAAATGCAAATTTTAGGGCACACTAACCAAAATATGCATTATGAAATGCTGTTAACACATTTTTAAAAATATTATTGTGAAAAAAGATATTCTTGTTTTTCTCGGTAATTATATAACATTTTGTGTTTTATTTGTGTTAAGTGTTTAAAAATGTATAAAAACCCATTTTAAACTATGCTGAAAGCTGGCAACAAGTTGATTATTACAAATTTAAATTTAAATATTTATTTATTTGGGTTTTAATAATAAATGTTGTTATATTAAATAATAATTGAAATTTAATGTACTTTATTTTAAACGTTGTTGTTTATTTATTTATATATTAAAAAGTAGTTGGTGTAAATGCACATAAAAATAGCATATAATAATCGAAATGTTACCAATAGACTCTAGGGAAGTCAGAAAACAATACAAATGTTTAATTAAATGTAACAATAATAACAACAAAAAAACTAATTTCTTCTATAAATACCTATCGTTGCTGAAGGTTCTACAGGGTTCGCATCTTTGTACCAAAGTATTTCGGGTGTGGGGGTACCTAGAAAACCAAAAATTACCCCCTAAAAACTCTAAAATATCCACACATACCTTCCGCTTGACAATTTAGAATTATCGCATCCCCTAGATTGACGTAGATGACATCTTCGGGCGTCACTGCGAACCTAGGGGGCGCGTGCACGTCCAAATGAAACCACGTGCCATTTTTACCCTGATTCGGCGATCTATTAAGAAAGACCACCTTACATTCGTACCTAAAACAAGTGAATCTCGCTTATAAGACATCCTACGACCAAATGGGCAGTAAATTTGAAATACTTGACCCCGAAAATATATTAAACGACACCCAACTCGATTTTTAACATTTACCCCAAAAAGGGGTTATGGGGATATAAAATCGTGTTATATATCGTTTAATAGGTTTTTGAGGTCAAGGATTCTAATTCAAACCTCCATTTTGCTATAATATGTTCCCTAATCAAATTACGTACCATCCTTGGTCAGATTCTCTAATATTGGTGAGATTAAGCGACGCAGAGCCGTAGGGGGAGTCAGGGGAGACTCTAGAGACCCTCCCCTCGTACCCTTCGCCGCTGTGGGTGGGGTAGCTTTCATACCAGATGAATATTGGTATGTCCTGGCCCTTTAAACATATTTCATATGTTAAAATTAATGTATGTATTTTATGAAGCCATTATAAATTGTTTAATCGATAATTAGCAATTTATAGTAGCTTATTCAGCGTCGAATACATGCAGACATAAATAAAAATAAATATTTACTACCCAGATTTATTTGGTCACAATAAAACTGTTAAACAAAATAATAAACATACAGGCAGCTAAAAAAGTACAGATAGAAAGAGATAGGAGACAGATGGATGTTTTAAGAGTTTAAAAAATCAATACTTTACGATGAACAAATATTTGTTTAATATGAAATTATTTCTTGTTTTATGCATTGATTTTTTATTGTGAAATGATATTCTGCCCTCCGGTCTCAGTTAAATTTTACAATGAAATTTCAAGCTACATGTAATAACAGCAAATGTATAAATGATGTAAAAAGTTTATTTTTGGTTATTTTATAAACAAATTATGTTAAAAGTACACCAAAAACTTACTTTAATCAATTTATAAATATGCTTTCATTTGCACTAATATTAGAGGTGACACATGGTTCCTTTTTGAAACCCTTGCCACATGCACTGTCTGTCTGATAAATGACTTTATTAACTTTAAGGTTAAGACTGTAACTTCCATAAAACTAGTCTGATTTATATGAAAATTTTAGGGTATACCTACTAATAAAAATATGCTTTTTTAAATACTTTTTACAGATTTGTTCAAATTTTACCCTTAAAAAGTTATTTTCACTTTTTTCAGACAGTCACGCTACAAGCTCAAAATACTTATCCAAATGCCAATTATTGGTATTTTTACGCATTTTCTCGGTTATATAGCAGAGCAGATGACTTAAAAATGATGTTAAGTTTTTTGTGGAAAAAAGTTGCGTACCGTGTCTCCTACCTTCTTCTCCCACTGCAATACGTAGGGCACCGGGTGTCCCTCAGGAAACTCCACGTGGCAGTTGAATACGACCGACTCGCCCAAAATCGCCGTGATGTGCACTGCATCTTGAAAACAAAAACCTGAAACAAAGAAAAAAGTTTTTTTTAGCTGGTACCGTATTTCTCCTAGAAACAGCATAAGCCATTGGGTCGCAGAAAATCCGTTAAATGTATCTTGAAGAGCTTGCTTTTGTTAGAATTACATAAAAAGAGCTTTAAAGTTCTCCTGATTTAAAGCTATGGAGTCAATCCAAATGAAAACACCAAAAATGAATTTAAAAGTGGGCTGCATGATTTTTTATTTTAATGAAAAAATTTGAGGATGATCTTTTAGGTATCATATATGAAAAACCGTTGCCGTTTTAATTTTTAGATGCTTTATTTTTAATCGGCACCCTTTAGAAACCTGAAATCGTGTCATTTTCTTACTCTGTTATAAGAGGCTAAAACTTTTTTTCTGTGGCAATTATTGAAATGATTGTAATTTTATTTTACTGCCTAGTAAGTATGTTTTCAATATTAATTATTATTATCTAATTAGTTCATCTCATAAAAGAATGGTAAACCACTAAAGATTTGTAATAATTTGCCAATTTTTGTGACTTTTGTCCTGCTCCTGTGCCTAATCTGCTAAATCTAGAAAGTTGCTTTTTTTCAGGTATCAAGTACTTATACAATAGAAAACGTAACTATTATTTTCTTTATTAAAAAAATTATTGAAACTTGATAATTTTCAAAATTAACCAATTTTGCCCTCAAAAATCATTATGTTGAGGAAAAAATAAAAATCTGAAACTTTCAGGAAATGTATTCCCCACCTTCGTCTTTTCAGTCTAGTTAGTCTTGTTTTGTTATTTTTATCCATGTAAAAGATATAATAATTTTTTTAATGCAGTTAAGAAGCGATATTTTTAGTTTTATTTATAATTTAAAATTTAGATGGCTTTGACTTAGTCAATTCATGTTTGGTAGAGAAATGTCAGAACTGTCAAAAATATTTCATGAATATTATTTGTGCGTATTTAAATTGTGATAATTGTAATAAATGACGGAGTGTTCGAGATTCATGAATTTAATTGCAATTAAAAATGCAAGAACATATCATAATTTTGTACCTCTTTCTCATAGAAAATGTTCAAGTTCTGAGAAGTTTTAAATTGTAAAAAATAAGCATAAATCAAAAAATATTCTAAATAAACCCCTTTATTATAACATGTTTTATTGTAACCAGTTACCTAAAAACTAAAATTTAAAGAAGTATTTACAGATTGTGTAAATTATACCTATATTGTATATTATATAAATATTTATATATATATATATATATATATATATATATATATATATATATATATGATTATACAATACATAAAATATAACATAACTACCAAATATATCAGAACTGTCAAAAATATTTCATACTCATACTCATAATTATTATTTGTGGTATTCCTTTGGTGATTTTAAAAAGTTTTGTATATAACATAATATTACATATCGACCCATGCAACGAAGACTATTGTAACTCAGTTTTGATTGTAGACTAGAGTAACTCAACTTAATATAGTTTTTTCCTGTAGGAATGTGGATTATTACACTTACTATACAGGGAAGTTGTTCACTGGTTGCCTATCGTTTCATGTCTGAGTTACAGTAATCTTCCACCAAATAGAGCTTGAAAAAATCTGTTGATGCCATATAGTAAGTCAAAGCCCACGTTTTTTGAGTTACTATAGTCTTCGTTGCATGGGTCGATATTATGTTATATACAAAATTTGCCAAAGAAATACGCACAAATAACATTTATGAAATATTTTTGACAGTTCTGACACTTCTCCACCAAACATGAAAGCCATCTAAATTTTAAATTATAAATAAAACTAACAATATCGCTACTAAACATTAAAAAAATTAATATATCTTTTAAAGGAATAAAAATAACAAAACAAGACTAACTGGACTGAAAACATGAAGGTGGGGACTACATTTCCTGAAAGTTTTAGATTTTTATTTTTTCCTCAACATAATGATTTCTGAGGGCAAAATTGACTAATTTTAAGAATTATCAAGTTTCAATAATTTTTTTAATAAAGAAAATGATAGTCTAGAAACTTAAAATAATAGTTACGTTTTCTATTGTATAAGTACTTGATACCTGAAAAAAAATAACTTTCTAGATTTAGTAGAATAGGCACAGGAGCCAGACAAAAATCACAAAAATTTGCAAATTATCATGAATCTTTAGTGGATTAGCATTCTTTTATGAGATTAACTAATTGGATAATAATAATTTATATCGAAAACACACTTACTGAACAGTAAAACAAAATTAAAATCATTTCAATATTTGTCACAAAAAAAAAGTTCTGGCCCACTATAATATATAATATATAAATATATTATATATATATATATATATATATATATATATATATATATATATATATATATATATATATATATAATATATAAATATATTATATTTCTTACTCTCTTATATATAAGAAATTGGCACGATTACAGATTTATAAAGGGTGCCGATTAAAAATAAAGAATCCAAAAATTAAAACGGCAACGTATTTTCATATTTGATACCTAAAAGATCATCCTCAATTTTTTTTTATCAAAATAAAAAATCAAGCAGCGCATCCCATTTGGTGTTTTTATTTGGAATGACTCTATGAGGACTTAAGAGAGTCTTGTTTAAGTTCCTGTAACTGTAAAAAAATAAGGAGAATTTTAACAAATTTTTCGGAATTTGTTTTTTTTTTCAATTTACCCTAAAAACGCATGATTCCTTAAATTTTTTAATTTGCTTTGCAAATGTAGACCATAAAGTTTTTAAGTTTTAAAAAATATACTCTCTAAAAATTAGTCAAAAATTACTAATTTAATAGTTATTAGTGGCTGTTTTTTCACTTGTACCATGGTTAATCATGGAATACCTTGGTATCCCAAAATTTAACGGCCAATTCTTATGAAAAATTGTCCCCTGAATCCGAAAATACCGTCAAAAATTCCATATTAAATGGAAAATTGACTATATCTCAAAAACTGTTCTATTTTTTAACTTTTGACTACCTTTTCGGATTCAGGGGACAATTTTATATAAGAATTGGATGTTAAATTTTGGGATACCATGGATAGTATCCATTGGATACCCATGGTTAACTATTAAATTAGTCATTTTTGACTAATTCATTTTTAGAGAGTACATTTTAACGCTTTGTAGTTATACTAAAAATATATGCACTTTTCAGGGTTTACAAAAATGTCGTATTTTTGTTGGTATACCCTGAAAATTTTACTTGAATACAACTATAAAAATTGAACCAAAAACTGATGCAGAGCATTAAATGTATACTCCAAAACATGGTTATGCATATGTAATTACAAATTAAATGATTATTGAGCAAATTTAAAGATATATGAATATTAAATCGAGCAGCATAATTGTAATGTTAATTTATAATGAATTTATTAAAACACAAACTATGTAAAATGTTCATCGTTAAAATCAGTTAATGCGATTTGTTTATACATAAAATAACTTAATTTAATTGGTGGATTCGTGCATACAAATAAATTTTGAGCGTGGTAATTTTAACCTAATTTATGTAACATTGTAAAATGTAGTATGTTTATTTGAAAAAGCGTATGTTTGTTGGTATACCCTAAAAATTTCATTAAAATCGCTTTAAAATTAAAGGAGTTACAGGGCAATAAAGTTATCAAGATTTGAAGCTACATTGTTTTAAAATTAAGAAAATTTTAACGAAATTTTTGGAATATACTATAAAAATATGCCTTTTTATAATGTGCTTAAATATGTCGATTTTTTATTGATATACCCATTAAAAAATCTATGTTAAAGAAAAATATAGTTTGATTTAAAGCTATAGCTTGTTTAGATTTAAATTATATTTTCAGGGTATAGGTACTAAGAATATATAATAAATGTTGCATTTTTGTCTGTATACCATAAAAAAATGTTTTACTTTATATTGTATTGTTAGTGTTTATTTATTTTGTTTTTTTTTAAGCCAAAATATTTTTATTTTAAGTGGGGTTTCTAAAGAGGTCTTGTTTAAGGCAACAAGTCGATACCTCAAGTTGAGTTTGAGTGACTCTTGAATCCTTTGTTCTTTAAAATCTCAATTTACTTCAAGAAGTTTATGGGAAAAAAACTATTAATATTATCCTACCTGTTTGCAAGAATATAAAAGCCAATAGAGCTAACACGGGGAAGAATTTGTTCGTCGACCCCCTTTGACAATTGTGGGGTATGTGCGACGATCCGTGGGGCACCTCTTTTCCTTCGACGACAACGTTCGAACAATCTAGGGATTGTTTCGCGGTCTTCAGTGACTTCTGTCGGTTTTCTTCGTTTGTTTTTGTTAGTTTCGCGTGACTTGGACGTGACTTGCCCCGTGGGTCTGTGCGCATGCCCATTCCGCCGGTCCCATACTCCTTGCTAGCGAGCCCTCATTGCCTTCTCTTCTGAAAACAAAAGGAAAATTTTTTTTATAATTTGTCCGAAAAAACACATAATTCATAAAACAGTTGATGGGAGGTGAAAGAGCGTGTTTATGTTCGTATACTCTAAACATCGCTGCTACAAAAGATTAGGAATTTAATTTTTTAGAATATTCCAAAGAATAAATGTTTTTCTCCCTGCACTATAATAAAGTTGAGTTTTACCGTCTTCATAGGGGCGAGAAAATACTCTTTTAAAATGAATTAGTCAAAAATAATAATAATAGTCATATTTGACTAATTGTCACAGTGAAAAAGCATGCACTAATGCAGTCACTAATAATTAGTCAAATTTAAATTTAAAAAAGTATTGACCCAGCCAGGGTTTAAACTCGGGCCTATCTCTTGTCATTTTTATAAAAATTGGTTTTATTTGTCTATAAATATTGTTAATAATATTTTAAAGCTAAATATCTTTTTTGTGTTGCTGTTTTGAGATAACCTTTTTGCATCTTTGTTTGTTTTTAAGGGTCATTTGACCATGGAGCAATTTAACTCTTAAAATAATTTGTTGTTGGCCGCAAGAATTAAAAACGATTAAAAAAATTAGTTACTTTTTACTCTCAGAAATAGTAGAAAATGGTGACTCATCTTAATTTAGTCAAACTACTGAAGTAATAAAAAATAACTATTTAAAAGTGAAAACTACTATTTTATTAGTAAACAATTCAAATAGTAGACTTTTGACTATTTCATTTTAAGAGAGTAGGTGCTTCTACGGCTAGGGTTTCAAAAATAATTAAATTTGGGCGAATCTCATAATTAAGTAGATATTACAGGTCAGGTTATATTTTTAAACGCAATGAATTATTTTTTACAATGTTTTAAAAGTCTAAAACCTATCCTCCTTGACTGTTACTATTTCTAGGTTAACCAATATGTTTTCAAATATCTGAGGTAGTAAAAGCATACTAAAAATATCAGTTCACTAAGTAAATTAAACACATCCAAAGCAATCTAATTAAATATAAAATATTATTAAAAATTAAAAGAAATAATTTTTATAACCATTTATGTAGGTGTTACAAAATTGATTCTATCCTCCGTGAATCTGTTTTTGCTTTAAATTTTATGCAACGGATGGCGCTTTAATTATTTTAAATAAGCAAAAACCTCTGTTTACGACATTATAGATGCATGTATTTTCTGAAGGTCAGTTAGAATTTATATGCAGGGCTCGTCTGGTGCTGGAACCTCGAAGCAGACTGAAGAAAACTAGGTGCTGAGGCCGTACCATGATACACTCCGTCATGGACACCATACGGGTAAGCCAAATCAACCTACATCACTGCAAGGACGCTGCTGGGGAACTGGCAAGCGTCTTGGCAGGGAGGGAGGGCGAGATTGTCCTGGTACAGGAACCGTATGTTTACAGGAAAGGGGTTAGAGGAATGGGTGCCACTGGCCTAAACATCATGGTTGGCACTGAGGAGGAGAGCAGCAGAACATGCATACTGACGTCCAAGGAACTCAATGTGCTACCACTTCCACAATTGGGGGCTAGGGATGTCACGGCGGTTCTGCTGGAATATAAGGTAAGAGGCATTAGAAATAGGATTATATTAGGAAGCGTCTATTTACCGTACGAGGGACCGTGCCCTACTCCGGAGCTAACTCGATTAATCAAGTTCGCGAGTGACAAGTGCATACCCCTCGTGCTAGGATGTGATTCCAACGCCCACCACTACGTGTGGGGCAGTACCAACACCAATAGTAGGGGAGAATCTCTGCTAGGGTATTTGGCATCAACAGACTTGGAGGTAATAAACAGAGGCAAAGAACCAACGTTTGTTATTTGCAACCGGAAGGAAGTAATAGACATAACGTTGGCATCAAGGTCAGTATATGAAGATGTTTCTAACTGGAGAGTGACCAACGATATAACGATGTCTGATCACAGGATGATCAGATTTGAGTTAAATGTCGACAAGGTCACTCCTAACCCAAGGAGGAATCCAAGGGCTACAGATTGGGAGAAATATCTCACCAATCTAAAAAGTCAAACTTGGGAACCTCCTGTGGACATTACCACCAAAGAACAGTTAGAGAAGGAAGTTAACCACCTAAATAGTACGATTGCCACAGCCTACGAGACTGCTTGTCCGGCCAAGGTGGCTAAGGGCCGAAAGGTCCCGTGGTGGAGTGACGTGCTTGACGACCTTCGAAAGAAGGCAAGGCGCGCATTCAACCGGGCTATCAAGGATGGGCTGCAATCCACGTGGGATACGTACAGGGAGGCCAGAAAGTCTTACAAAAAAGAGTTAAGGCGCAGCAAGGATATCAGCTGGAAGACATACTGTGGAACTGTAGAGTCACTTCAGGAGTCAACCAGGCTGATGAAGATCCTTAGCTGTGAGTCAAAAAGGAATGTAGGAATCCTAAGAAGGTTGGATGGATCGTGGACGAACACCAGTGAAGAGTCCCTAAGACATCTCCTGGAAACGCACTTCCCCGGCGAAACTCCTTCCCACACGTCAACAACGGAGGGGCCAGAGACCCTTACCTGGGACTTAGGCCTTGCCAAAGACGTCGTGAAGGAGGGATCGGTGGAATGGGCAGTAAATGCGTTCGATCCATACAAGGCAGCAGGACCGGATGGAATATTCCCAGCATTGCTACAGAGAGGCTTGGAGATTCTTCTCCCAAGAATAGAACGAATATTCCGAGCCAGTCTGGCACTGGGATATGTCCCAAGAGCCTGGAGGGCAGCTAAAGTGGTCTTTATACCCAAAGCAGGGAAAAAAGACTACTCGGCTGCAAAGTCCTTCAGGCCAATAAGCCTAACATCCTTTCTTTTTAAAACATTAGAAAGGATCGTGGACCGGTACCTGCAAGAAGGGGTGCTGAAAAGGTACCCATTCCATAAGAATCAACATGCCTATAGAAATGGAAGGTCGACCGAAACGGCTCTTCATTCTATAGTGCATAGAGTCGAAAAGGCACTGCACTACAAGGAAATGGCACTAGCTGTTTTCTTTGATGTAGAGGGGGCTTTTGATAAGGCGAGGACATCTACAATCTGTGAAGCGCTGCAAGCCAGAGGCACTCCCCCAGTCCTGGTTAGTTGGGTTAAATCTTCACTGGAGGAGAGGCAGGTCAGTGCATCTCTGGGAGACTGCCATTTGGACATCGGTGTGAGGGGCGGCTGCCCACAAGGCGGCTGCCTATCACCCCACCTATGGTGTTTAATAATGGATGGACTTCTGGAGAGACTGACGGCCGAAGGGCTGTATGCACAAGCATATGCAGATGATGGTACAGTCCTAATCAGAGGAGGCATTCTAGGTGTAGTCTGCGACAGAATGCAGACAGCATGCAGAATAATAGAAAATTGGTCCAAAGAAAACGGTCTGTCGGTTAACCCAACAAAAACTGACATGATTCTTTTTACCAAACGAAGGAAGATACAGGACTTCAGGGCACCAGCCATGTATGGAAGACCTCTTGAGATTACTGAAGAGGTCAAGTACCTAGGTGTTACCCTAGATAGGAAGTTAAGTTGGAAATCACACGTTGACAGAGTTGTTGACAAATCGATTGCAACTTTCTGGCAGCTGCGCCGGGTGGTGGGAAAACGCTGGGGAGTAAATCCCAAAGTCCTTCACTGGATTTATACTGCTGTCATCAGACCGCGGATACATTATGGATCAGTGGTCTGGTGGCGCAGTGTGAGCAAAACCACCATCGCTCAAAAATTGAGCAAGATACAGAGACTGGCATGTCTCGGTATCACAGGCGCAATGAGGACTACTCCAACGACGGCATTAGAGGCCTTGCTGAGCTTGCCTAATCTTTCCCTCTGGATAAAGAGAGAAGCAATGGCGAGCCATTTAAGGATGAGGGATGCCAACAATTGGTTAGGAAAAGGAATAACTTATGGTCATGAGGGCATCGCGGATATGGCTGAGAGGGAGGTCCCAATTAGCAGTATTAGAACGATGCCAGCAAAAGACCGCCTAAGTTTAAAAAAGAAGTTTTCCCTCACGATACCAACAAGAGAGCAGTGGGAGAAAAAGGATGTACACTTTGCACAAAATGCACTAGTGTGCTACACTGATGGCTCTCGTATGGCGAGTACACTGTCTTCAGGGGCAGGTTTCTGCGTGGAGGACAGGGATATCCAAAGGAGCTACCCGCTCGGAGGATATACCACTGTCTTTCAAGCGGAAGTGTTTGCCATACTTGAGGTTGCAAACTGTGAGGATATAAGAACAGGGAGTGAGACAGATATATACATCTGCTCAGATAGCCAAGCAGCTCTGAAAGCGCTTTGGGCAGCGAGAACCACATCGAAGTTGGTTCAAGAGTGTGAGGAAGCGCTGGAAAAGCTAGCAAGTACAAAAAGAGTGCATCTCGTATGGGTACCAGGTCATAGTGGGGTTGAGGGTAACGAACGGGCTGATGAGTTGGCCAGATTGGGCTCTGAAACCCCCTGTGTAGGACCCGAACCAATTTTTGGAATCACGAGAAAGCAGGTCAAATCAGCCCTAAATAATTGGGCTGATAAAAGAGCGAATGAAAGCTGGAGAAGAAGCGGTGGCTGTAGGCAGACCAGGGATTTTCTGGTCACCCTAAGCAAACCCAAATCCATCTGGCTTCTAGGTAGAAGCCGAACCTCCTTGGGCCCACTTGTGAATATACTCACAGGTCATGGCCTAAGGAAACACCTCACAAGAATAGGGGCTGAAACCAGCCCCTCCTGTACCCAGTGCGGAAGGGAGGATGAAACCTCCTTTCACTTCCTGGGACAATGTGAGGCCCTCGGCAGACTAAGGTATAAAATCTTTGGAGTGATGACACTCCAAAGGGAAGAGTTGGCCTCTCTTGCCTGGCAGGATATCCTGACCTTTATAAGAAGGTCTGGAAGATTCGAAAGGGCTGGTATGGGCGAAGAGGAAGATGAGGAGTAGTCTGGTTGGTTTAGGAGGGGCAGATAAAAAGGACCATGGAGTCTAATTGTCAGGCTTCGAGCCTACCCAACCGTACTACTACTACTACTATATGCAGATGAGAGTGTTGCTGTTTTATAATTCAAAAGTTTAAGTTCATTAATTTTCTATTTAAAAACCTATCCACCGTGAAGTGTAATATCTCAGTAAGTAGATTTTTTTTATAAATATTTTATGTATGTACAATTATTGTATTTTTAAAAAATATTAAGGTGTCAAAAGATACAATAACTTATTTCAAATATACAAAGGGATGTTTAAAAAAAAACATACGAAATCCTAACCTCCGTGAAGCTCTAATATTCAAAATGTATGATTTCTTAAAATTCTTGCATTAGTGCAGAACCACTTATGTTATGTAATAACTAGACCTGTTGGCTTTCCAAAAACCCCATTCTAGACTAACAGTGAAACAACCAAAAATAAAAAATAATCATTTTCACTTGGGGGACATCTCAATATATTCACCCAAATGCCTAGGCGGTAATTTTTTTACTTACTCCAATAGAGGGTGCTGCAAAAATATGTTAAATTCAAATTTTCAACATTTCTACGATTGTAATTAACTTTTTTGGTTTAAACAAAAGCTGTATTTTTTCTATAAAATAATCGGAATAATAAACACCAAATTATGAATTAAATATTTAATATTAAATTACATTTTGAGTAGATTCCTGCAGAATGTTATATTTAACTGTGTTATAGACATGCACGTTAAAATTAAATAATTTTAAATGTCAAAATTTGGTTTTGTTTTGTGCTGACAAATTGGTTTATATTTTTATTAGTATAACCTACAAAATAAATTCTAATTACCCTCCCTAATCTTTTACAAGATTTTGTCAAGTTACAGCAGTATATCTCAATTAAATTTCTCCGTAGTTTGTAATTTATATGACACGAACATTTCCCTGTAAAATTACGACAACATAAGTTAAAAAAAACGCGATAACGTAAAATATATGTGACTATATAACATTATTATATGCATATGAGTTTAAAAATACATATTTTACAAGATCTTATTAACCCTTAATATAGATAAAAATTCATTCTCTATAATGGGTTTTTAAGCTGTATTAGAGCACTGATGGGGTGGTTAATATAATTTTAATCTAAGCGACCTTTTAATAAAGCGATTTTTACATTGGGTGATGATTATTTTAAAGAGCGTGTTTTTGTTGGTGTACCCTGAACATTATGTATACTAAAATCGGTTAAAAAATGTGAGTCAATATTTAAAGCAAAGATACCGATAAAAATGCGATATTTTTGCGTAGAATTGTAAAAAGTAAAAAGTATAGTTTCAACAATAAAAACTGATTTTTTGGGAATTTAGAGCTATCTATAACTGCTACAATTGTTAAGCGATTTTAATGATATTTTCACGAGATACTATAAAATCTATTTTTGACGAAAGGGTGCGTATAACAAATACAAATACAATTTTGTTAAAATTAACATTAATATCACCCACCTTAGGGCTTGTGTGGTCCATCCTTTATGTAATATCACCTAAACCAGGCAAAATAACCCCATAGATGGGTGGCACTGAGCATGGGTCCGTAATTTAGAAATTCTCGCTTAAAGGCACTGAACATTCAATTCAGGATATTTGTACGCGTATCGTCGAGCATACTAGGACCAGTATGCATGCGCAGGACACGATCCCGTACTGAACTGAACAACATAAGGGCAAAACTGTTCATATTGATCCGGCAGGACCCAGCATTTTCGCGCTCAAACTCAAATTTTACGATGTGTCACGAATATTGGCGAGTTGCGTTTGAAAAAATTGGATCCTTGATAAAATGGCAAAAGTCGTTATTTTAGATAAAATTTGCAAACTGGGTTGGAAAAGCGTGTTTTTGTTGGTATACCTACGCTCAGTGATGGGCACCCGATTTATTTTTAATAAAAATGGATAAATAAGTGGTGAGCACTATTGTAAACTTTGAACTATCAACTAGCGATAGTGCTCACCACTGGTACCTAGTACATAGTACATACCTACCTGTGTAGCGTATAATACGCTACACATTTCAATAAAATCAAACTATTTTTGTAAAAGCTTCAAAATTCTACCACACAAAAATATTCCTGTTTATTTATCTTAATTTTTTCTAATGGCTTATATTAATAAAAAAAATCATTTCAAAAACAACCTAAATCGTCATTTTAGTTCCATACCCTGAAAATGTTATGAAAATCGGAAATACTACACAGTAAAAAAATATTTGTTAATTTAACCAGATTTTATGTTAATCCAGGCCCACATAACTTTATGGTAAGTTTACAACCAACTGTAATCTGTAAACTAATTAAATAAGTTTATATACTTATTTATATGCTTTTTCACTTGTACCATGGTTAACCATGGAATACCATGGTATCCCAAAATTTAACAGCCAATTCTTATGTAAAATTGTCCGCTGAATCCGAAAATGTCGTCAAAAGTTAAAAAAGTAGAACTGTTTATAAGATAATATTATAGTCAATTCCATATTAAATGGAAAATTGACTACATCTCAAAAATTTTTCTTTATTATCTTTTGACGACATTTTCGGATTCAGGGGACAATTTTACATAAGAATACCATGTTATTCCATGGTTAACCATGATACTATTAAATTAGTAATTTTTGACTAATTCATTTTTAAAGAGTAGTTTGTAATTATAAGGAACATTTTGTAGATTTAATACCAAAATCATATATCAATAATTCAACAAAACTTTTTGTAGACCCAGTAACAAAAGTATTTGTTGGAAATTGTGAACTTAAATGAAAAGAATTTGTATACGAAATGCTGCTTTATTAATCAATTTCCTAAACAAAAAAATTAACACATACCTACATAAATAACACACCATTCTGATTTGGTACAATATAATTTAGGCGTTTACTGCAAAAGCGGCCTAACTAAAAAAAAATCATTTTGTGCCATTATCTTAAAATATTCCTATTATGCGCTAAGCTATAGCTTAATAAAGTGTGTTTTAATATAAAAAGTACCTATACTATTGTACTATTGTAATATACAGAGTAGTATACTACTCTGTATATTACAATACAATTTATTAGGCTAGTTCACTCGATAAGCGCATAATAATAATATTTTAAGATAAAAACAAAAAACTTTTTTCAGATATGCCGCTTTTACTACAACCATAGAGTAGTATTAGTAGTATTTCGTAACTTTAACCCACTTCACTGTAACCCCTTATTTCAGTTTGAAAACCAGTGATGGCATCTTTTTCGGATACTTTGCACATTCGTTAAATAAGTATAAGGAATCCGAATAACAATAATAACAGATTTCTGGTAATATATTATAAACACTCTGGAAAATTGTTACGAATTAAAATACAGTAACTTATTACTTAAGTAAGCAGAAACATAAGTTGCAGGCGCTGAAGTCAGATGAACTTGTTGATGCGTATTGTTAGTGGAAAATGTTTTTTGGTTTTCTACATATGTAGAAAACCAAAAAACATATATTAAAATTTTACAAATTAAAATTAACTAACTACCATCTCATGTTAACAAATCTGTTACATTTTTTAAACACTGGTCTAAATTTTTACTAATAAATAAACGTTTTTTAAGTCTCTCTTAAAATTTCAAAAAATTACAACAAATCTGCAGAAAATGAGACTTTTTACATTTTGGTGAACATCGTGAAAGGTTTTCCAAAAACTAAGCTAAGCTCTACAAATTTTCTCGAATTTATTATAAAATTTTTAGGGTACACTAACAAAAATAAAATCTCTTAATTTTTATATGTAAATAAAATGTGTCATAAAATATTAAAGGTATACTAATAAAAATAGTATTTTTAAAATACGCCTTCTTAAAGCATCTATAGATATATTAAAACTGCTAAAATTATCTCTAGGTGCTGTTTAAATTATCAAAATTTAACAAATTTAGTCAGCCAGCTGTCAAAACTGCACATTTATCTATAATTTTATAATAAATAAATAAACCACAAAAAACGTAATTTCTGTGCAAAATTCCGACACAGCGCTATTTTTAGCGAAGGTGTCTCGAATTGAGGGATAAATTTGCTCGGCTCACTTTTGCTTCGACAAAATCGCGTAGACGTATCCCGCGCGCTCGTTATCGATCGACACCCTGTGACGTCACGGTCCCGCCCATGACGTCACGCCGTATGAAACGCCCATACGAAAATTATTTATCATTTAATAATAAGATAGAGAAAAACAGGGCAACCTGGCAACTTGTGTTCTACACGGAGAGAAATGTATAGTAAATTTTAGATAGTAAAAAAATATAGTAAAATTTACTTTAACAAATTTTTAAGGTAACAATATTATATATTCGTCAATACAATATTAAGATTGTAAATCAAAATACTATTTTTTATTATACAATTTTAGTAAAGATTATTATTACACATTAATAAAAAAATATAGTAAAAATAAAGATACTTTTATGTTTAAGATAAATAAACAATAATATATTATATTTAAATATAATAGACAATATAGTAACTCATGACATTTTAAACATTCAATTTTCTTAGTTTCTTCAATAAACTTTCTTGACCCATTACTGGTAATACTTATAAGAAAGAATTCAACCTACTTGGTTGCATAGTATGTACCGATTGCGGCAAAGGCCACGTCGCGACGCTTCGTTAGACGGTGTGGATCACGTGATGTTCTTACATCTCGCCTCTGTTGGCTTACCAACCATGTTATATAAGCACTGGTATTTCTTCGTTTTGGGTGTGTTCCACTACTACAAGTTTCTCGAAAGTGTCGTGTCGACACTGATGATACCCAATAGGTCAAAACACCTGTCTGTCGGTATTTGAAGTTGATGGAACGCACTCGAAACAAAAAACTTTGTCGAGGTGTAGGTTCAATTCTTTCTCATAACATTTTTGTATATTAAAATGTACAATAAATATGTTACAATTTTTAATTGTTAACATATAAAATATTCGATTTTAAAATATTTTAAATATTAAAATGGCAACATAATATTTTAAAATTTACTATAAAAAGTCTAATTATAATAAGAATTAAAAACAAAATTGGTTGAGAATATTAATATTTTACCTTAAGGTTTAACATACATGTATATTTAAAAATTACTAAATATGCATAGTATCTGGCAATATACAAGATAGTTGTCCCAAATAGTAATATAAATTATAGTAAAGGGTATTATAATTATGGTAATCATGCTGCAGCATTATATTTTTCTCTCCGTGTAGGCTTTGTTGTCTAAATTTTGTGAAAAAAAAATACCAAGTTACCAAAATTAATTTTTAGCTTTTAAGTTGGAAGCAATACACTATTAACCCAATCATCAAAACACTTTTATAGGCATTTTTGTTTCTTTGAATTTAGTTGAAGTTTAGTTGATACAAAGCATTTACAAAAGTTGGACACGTTGTCAAAAGTTCTTTAAAGTTCTTAATAACAATTGCTTTGACTTTTGTGAAATTCTCAGTATATGGGAAAACACGTTCGATTTAATAAAATTATTAGTTTTGATGCCCTAATAATCTTAGAGGGTTCTTGAATCCCGGGAGAAAATCTGTCAGGATGTTTTAAAAACCGACTTTACTCTTGGGAAATTAGCGCTCTAAAAACCTGGAAAAAGTATATTTTACCTGGTTAAATCTAGTGGATTTCTTTATTCAAACGAAGTTTGAAAAGTAAGGAAATAGGTTGTAGGTATTCGCTTTGAAAAATATAAGTTTTCAGTTTATTCAGACCAGCTTAAGTTAATTTAATTACCTACATAATCCTATTAAGTGCATTTAGCATGGAAAGGCGGGAATTGTGCAAGCTTGGAAAGCCAGTATCAACTTTTGTTGTGGGTATTTTTAAAGAAATATTGAATGCTTCAAAATTCAGTGCATGAATTTTGTTGACATTTAGGAAAGTTTTAAAGCATTTAATATTTTCTTTAAAGATGTCCTATACCCGAAAAAATATTATTTTTCTACAGAAGAGTAGAAAGAGAATATCAAAAAGCCCAGTCACGTTTAAGCCAACTTAAACTTATAGTAATATAACCAAAGCCTGATCCATACTTTTAATACTTTTTGAAGAACTTTATACGGATATTTAAGAAAGTATTGCCGAAGAAAAGTTTCATGGGATTGAAAGATTTAACAATGATAACTTTTTACCTACCGTAAAATTGTTGATTTTCAACCAAAGAAGTTTATTTTACTTTTCCAAGTTTAATTTCAAAGGTCTGTAGCATTCTGATTAATTTGCTATTGAGATTTTATAATAATAAATATTCTAGTAGGACAAAAAGTTAGTCTTTTTTGCTGAGATCATTCCGAAATGTAAATTAGTTTAATGTAAAAACTTTCGCGCGCGAAGTTGTGCTCAGGCATTATTAGGTTTGGATTAATATAAAATTGCACGAGCGTTATAAATGTTATAATTAAAAAAAATTATTTAAAAGTAAGATACAGTAGGTACGATAAACGAAACGTACAATTACTAAAAGTATAAAGTGAGGTTAGAACCGTCTGACAAAATTTGACATTTAATGTCTAATTTTATGATTGGATACGAGGGGCGAGAAAATGTCTCTCAATTTAAACCAGATTGGTCCAAATCACAGTGAATAATAAAATCGGCACACTCAGAAAAATGTACATGCACTGATAATGAAACTAATTTTGTAAGCGATTAATAAAATAATATTATTTAACTTAAATTTAAAATTGTAATGGCTATAAAAAAATGTACCACCTAAGGTAC